ATCTTTATGACTTTGCACCGAGTCCCTTTAGGTTCTCTGCGAGTACATATTTCATTTTTACTTATATGAGACCTGTGCAACTGCTGTTTATTCATTTGTGCTTTGGTTTATTCAACGCAGTTTAGGATTTACATAACAAAAGATCAGTCCACACAGTCCACACACAGTAAAGGCCACTCTCAAATGTGTTTAAACTTTTATTTTATAGAAACATTGAATAGTACAACCCTCTACGCTAATCCACATGAAAGAGAAAATCTCTAAAATGTTCTCATGACAGCATGTGTTTCATAAATTTAACATGAACCACAGACAGTGGGTTAGGTTGGTCAGTGGGAGACATTAACATTTACTGTACACAAACAATATATATATATATTTAAATGTGTTGCCAGACATTACCTACAGGATGTGTATATTTAAGAATTTATGGTGAACTGGTGTTTTCATTGAATAAATCACTGTCACTTCAGTCAGTCAAGTCTGCTGACAATGTCTCATATGTTTTAGGTCAGATGGTCAAAACATTTTAAGTTTAACAGAGTAAAATAAAAGTGACCGAATTATGTACAGTAAGTCTGAGTTTGTTGAGATGTAGGCAACTCATAAAAGACTACATCCTTAACTTTCTACATAACAATAGGATATTTTTGTGGTGTAACTTCCCACTGCTGCTCTTCTGATGTTGGTGTGCTCTCAATCTTCTCTAGCAGTCACAGGCACGACCTGTACATATAGTTGGAGTAAAAAATAGACAATAGTAAATGGGCGATAATAAAAACACTCATGCGTCCCTATTTCTATCATTTTGAAATTCATTGTACTGTCCTATTCATTGTTTATCAAGTTTGAAGCCAATTTATAAAATGGGAATTGAGAACAAGACTTCTGCATCTGCATGTGTTGACACTAGTGGAAAATGTCTGTCAGAGCATCTCTGTAGGTCCCTGCGGAGTTGTTTCAATGCGACAGTTATCCACATGGAGAAAAGCCCAACAGTATTACATCATCGCTGTAACTTTGGTAACTAGATCTGACAACAGTTAAATACGATATATTAGTTTTAAAGGGATTTACAATACCTTGGTCCATAAGCATCTGCTGAGGGTTGCTTCCTGTCCTCCTTCTGACAAAAGACAGTTAAAATAAAAAGATAAATAAAATAATAATAATAAAGAAAAAATTCTGATTCGAGTTTGTACAAAGGTTTCACAGACTGTTTTTTTTTTTTTTTTTTTTGTAAAAGCATCACCTCTTGTTCTGGTTGAACTTGCACCTGCAGTGGCCACCTGTAAAACAAAACGTTTTTACGATTTCTGTTTTTCAGCAGAATATTGTGAACTTGTTTGTGTACGTATAACGATGTGTCTTACTGAGCAGAATAGTGATGCCAATAAGGCAGAGGACAGCTGCAAGGATCAGGCCTCCAACACGCAGTCTGTGGTAGTCTGTATGCACATGGAATAATTTTTATTAGGTGGAGTAGACAAACTAAGTAAACTGCAGATTGTGGAGAGCGCCAAATTATAATCAACAAATATATCATGAAATAAATGTAAATACCCCATTAATTCATTAAAAATATAATTAAATTGATAAATACATCAATAAATAATATACCATTAAATTATGAAATGGATCATTAAATTATTAATTACATTATTAAATAACTTGTTGCCACAGTTTAAAAAATTGATAAATTATTTGTAACCAGATTAGATCAATTTGTGAACAAACAAAACATTTTAAGTAATAGTAAATATGGGTTTAGAACAAATAATTCAACATCAATGGCTCTTTTGTAATTAATGGAAGAAATAGCAACTGCTGTAGATCAAAACTTTACTGTGTTAGTGTTTTTGTTGATTTAAAGAAGGCTTTTAACAGAATTGAACATCTTAATTGAAAAGTTATATAAATATGGTATTAGAGGATTAGCACTACAGTGGGTAACTAGTTATTTGAAAAACTGCTAACAGTTTGTTCAAGTAAACAATGTAAAATCTGAATTATGTAATATTAGTTATGGAGTTCCTCAGGGTCCTGTGCTTGGAACAAAACAGTTTATTTTAGATGTGAATGATTTGGCTAATGTGTCAAAGCTTTTAAAATGTATTCCGTTTGCCGATGACACGACACTTTTTTATTCTGGTGAAAATATTAAACAGATGTTGGAGGTGATGCCGACTGAATTCAGGAAAACACAGACTTGTTTTCAACTCAATAAACTGTTTGAATTTGGATAAAACAAATTATACATGTGGTAATATAAAGAAAACCATCAGAATTCCATTCTGTATTGATGACACTGAAATTTGTAAAGTCAGTGAAATAAAATCTTTGGGTGTCATCATTGATGAAAAGCTCACAAAGAAATCTCATATAAATTACTTAAGAATAAAAATACCAAAATTGCATTGCTGTATAAAGTACATTACACAGTTATTAAATGATAGAGCTCTGTATATATTGTGTAATACGATTGTTCTGCATGTAAGTTATTGTATTGAGGTTTAGGAAACAGCATGTATGACAATAACAAATCCTATTTTTGTTTTGCAAAAAAGAGCTATAATAATTATCAGCAGACAGTGCTATGGACACCCAACAAATGTATTATTTCATCAGTTTGTTTGAAGTTCATATTTCAAAAGGTAGATTTATTAATTCATAGAACATTTCATTTAATAATTTAATTGTACATTTAATTATTTAATAATGTGCTTAATAATTTAATGATACAGTTAATTATCCAATGATGTATTTGATAATTTAATTATACATATATGTGATTATATAATGAGATATTTACATTTATTTATTCATAATACATATATTTATTGTAATTTGGCACTCTCCACCTTCGACAGTCTTACTGTTTTGAAATATATGTAAGCAAAATACCCCTTTTTTTCCTCTTTGATTCTAATGGTATTGTATGAACAGTGGATTACCAAAGGTAAAAGGGTCCTCTTCAACTGTCAGAACAAAAAGAATATAGGTCAGTTAAAGAGGAAATATACAGGAGCTAACATAACACTTAATTTCAGAAGGTCCAAACTGTGGTCAACATAGTGGCCTAGTTCTGACAAATTAACCGATTTTTTCAATAAAGACTACATGTCAATAGATGAGATATAAAAATCTGTACAGTGCTTACCTGGCTCTGCTGCAGCAGACATTAGAGACACAACTGGAAGAGGACAAACAGATGGATATTCATTACTATGGTGAGACAGTTTAGGGCATCGTCTGCTGAGAAACAAAGGACTCCATTGCAAAAACAATGGTTTCTATTTTATGCCAAATGTTAGTTGGATATTTTGTGGTTGAATAATGTGTTATTATTCTTCATTTAACCCAGAATACTCAATTATTATGTTTGATATTTTTTCTCTTTAACAAAATATAAGTTTGGAAAATCAAGATTTATGTTACAAGGCTAAAAAGAAAAGCAAGTAATGTTTCCAAAACAAACATGACAGTAGGGCTGCTGTAAATAATAATTCCCCACCAGGACCAGAAAATAGGGATGAAAGTTGTTGATTAACGAGTGAATCTAAAGTTGATTGAGCTTATTGATCAACTAATGATTAATTGATGAGGACATTTTCTTAAAACCCTCAGTTTTCTCTTGAATCAAGTGGAACATAACATGTTCATCCACCATGAACAGAGATATGTAAAACTATTATTAATTAATTATTGTCATTAGAATTTATTTACTTTAAGAATTTATTATTTTTCCTTGATTGTTATTTTTCAGCTTTATGAAGCCTCGTTTTTACTAAAACTGACTACAAGATGAGGGAGCGTGAAAAATAATTTTCACACCCACATTGGCCACCACAGAGTCCAGACCTAAACGCCATTGAGAAGATTTGAAATGTGCTTGAGAAAGCTGTCCAAAGTGGTCAAAATATCAATACAATATCTTGGCAAAAAAAATGAATGCAAGTCTGAACAGAAATAAATTTATGACATTGTAGAAGCTTGTGGAAACAGCAAACACATGCAGTAATTAAAGCTAAAGGCAGTCCAACAAATATTAGAGGATGACCCTCTTTTGGCCAGGCTCTTTTGGTTTGGCAAAAAATAAAAAAAATCACACAAACAGTTCGCTAGATTCACTTAAAACATTTTGTTGCGTCCTCCCCCACATGAAAGTAAACTTTCCTTTTAATATGAGTTTGATAAGATCATGTAGTTAAAACTGAAGAATGTTTTTTCATTGACAACTTTACCCATCAGTAGATATCTTCTTACTGAAAGTGATTAGACTGTACTTTTACTTACGTGTCATAAACACCAAAGTGCAGATCTTTGACATCTTTAGAAGCTGTCAAGATAAGAAGAAATAAATGACATTAGTAAATGAGACCTTATTATAACAGCTTTTTGCTGGCATGTCTTTATCGGTAACAAATAGCATGAGCTTCAGCCTGTATTGTGCTGTGTGGCTCTTGATGTGACACAAATTGTGAAATTTGGAACAGGCATTCTCACGTGTTATTATAAATATGGTTGGTGGTGATTTTCATATATTCTAAATCCAGTTGAAAACGGGCAAAATCAAGGAATTATTACAACTGCTGAAGCATTATTTATTTATATAGACACCCCTGATAGTGACACACAATGTTATTTCCTAATGAGGCTTTTCCAGTTGGGCATTTTTATTTGATAGAATGCCTAATGTACAACCCTCTGCAAAAAATAATAATGACAAAAAAGCTCAGCTGTACCATCACAGTGTAAGGACCTTCCTCCATGTTAAGCCATTGTACCAGTAAAAATTAAGGAATATATTTAAAGAAAAACTGAATATTTACTTACAACTTTTTAATGTTTTGTCTGAAAAGACACTCCCAGTTAAAATTCTCTGAAGTGGATATAAACCAGCCCAGTGATTCTACAGGATGGCCTTACTAAGAAACGAAGTAGATTCTAAAACATTTTCCCCTAACACAGACACACAAACACCCTCTCAGACAGCAAGTGAAGCTTGAGATCTTGATCACAAAAGGGACAAATTACTCTGTTGGATTCTAAAATGTTTTTTGGCAACAGCATGTAAGTGCTTCCATTATAAGTCTTTGAAACTTCAGTCTTCTTTGTGTTTCAATATTTACTTCAAATTGCAGAGCACTTACCAATATCAATTTTTTTACTCGGAAATTATATTTAATCTTATTTATTCTTGTACAGCTGTACAATCTAAATTATGTCCTTGATAAAATGCACACTTCCTGGCAGCTTTGTTCATCTTGTATAATATCCAAGCTGTCCTCCACCTCACACTGTTTTTGTACTGAATGCCATGTATGGCCAGCAGCAGCAGAGGAGGTGACACACCTAAAGCAACTCAGTGGTGATTTTCCACTTACCACGTGTTTCCACTCGGCACAAGAGCAAACACACCTCAACCATCTCTCATTTACAAGAGATTTCTGTAAAATAAAGTAATAACTAAGCCACAGAATGTTGAAGTTCTGTGTCTTTTAGATTTATTATGAGAATGCATCCTGATATACAAACTACAGTCTGGCTTCTATAGTCTAAAACAGGGGGTTTCAATCCTGGTCCTTGAGGGTTGCTCTTCTGCATGCTTTACTTGTTTGTCCTGCTTCAGCACGCCTGATTCAGTGACTGAATTACCTCTTCAAATTCTGCATAAGCCTGTTAATCAGAGAAAACTCTTAAACATGTAGGACAGGGGCCCTCTAGGACAAGGAATGGACACCCTTGGTCTAAAACTATTTACAGGATTTTTTTTCTTGTTACTGCATTTTAAAGGGATCCATGATTAGATGTAACATTGGACTTTATGTGATAAGCATATTTTCACTGTAAAATAAAGACTAAAAATACTGTAGGATGTTCAGTTTTTATCATTTTTTAACAAAAAGTTTTAAAATATATTACATGGACGGGGCCATTTTATTTACATGTAAAGCATTCTGGGTAAATGATGACATCAACAAGGTCATCGGTGCGATGCTGCTAGCGAGCTATATCCACCCTGAAGGTTAATCTTGGACAATATCTGATGATCGACTCTTTTAAATGAAACCAGAGAGCGTTGACAGAGHGGAGAAGGTAGAAATGACTCAGCCTGMAACTGAAAATATYGATGGAGGACAACAGAGCTGCTTCATGGAAGAAGAACCTCAGCTTAGCCTGTTAGCTTTAGCATTAGCCCCGACTATCACCATATGTATTAGCTCAGCGCTACACATTCTCCTCTCGTCACTGAGGTCCTCCATCCACCTGACAGAGAGGAGAAGGCAAAAATGACTCAGTCTGCAACTGAAAATATGGATGGAGGACCTCAGTTTAGCTTGTTAGTTTGACGCGTTAGCACCGAGCTAATACATATAAGGCAATATAGCGTCAGTGCTAGCGCGAAGGCTAACAGGCTAAGCTTAGGTTCTTCTTCCATGAAGCAGCTCTGTTGTCCTCCATCCATATTTTCAGTTCCAGGCTGAGTCATTTCTGCCTTCTCCTCTCTGTCAACGCTCTCTGGTTTCATTTAAAAGAGTCGATCATCAGATATTGTCCAAGATTAACCTTCAGGGTGGATATAGCTCGCTCACACCAAGGACCTATCCACGTCATCATTTACCCAGAACGCTTTGTGTGTAAATAAAATGGCTCTGTCCAAGTTAAAATATATTTTTAAAAATTACAAAAGCTAAACAGCCTACAGTATTTTTACAGTCTTTATTTTACAGTTAAAATAAATGTTTATCAGGTAAAGTCTAATATTACAACTAATCGTGGATCCCTTTAAAGTTTTTATCCGTTTGATAGGCATTTACAGATTCGGATAGTCAGTGGAAATCACAGCTCTAGTCTTCAGTCTGATGAAAGGTAATGTTGCAATTAGAATTCTTAAACCCTACCAAACATTTCAATGAAGTGTCCTGATGCATCTCAGTAATCCAGGTAGAAAAATCAAAAAGAAAAACAAGTAAGTCCTCTGAAGAAGAACCCATCTAAAGGACTTGCTTATTTTTCTTTTTGATGTATCAACTAAAGTTTCTTCAAAGAGCAAAATTCTGCTTTGGTTGAATTCTTTATGAGTTTATTGATCCACAAAAGCAAAAGCAATTGCTTAACATAAGGTGATCTTAGTTTAAAACTGCATTCCTTCAAGGATTCCTAGGCCTATGATGATTATTATTTAATAAGCACTTAAAACACAAAAACAAAATGAATTTTTGTCACATTTGAAAAAAAAATTAGCATCTCTTGAATATGGATTGATGATCAGATAAGATGTTGGTTTGTAAAAATGAACATTTTTTATTTTTAATATTTACTGTTCTTTAGTGACTAACTGATAAATCAAATCTGCTTGCAGTCGTTGAAACATCTTGTACCTTAAAGTGCGTAAAGGTTTTTCTTTAATAATGTCTCCCTCCATGACAGCAGGTTGGAATTTGAGAACATGAGTAAAAAAGAACACAGGATGAGTGCTTTCTCTTCTGGTGCTTCCCCACAGTAACCCAAGGCAAGCGGGGAGAATGCAGAGGATGGGAAACAGGCCAAAAACTAGTTGAATCCCATGAGAAAGTAAAGAGGGGAGGAAAGAGAGGAGGGAGCGAAAGACTGTTGTTAAAACCTGAAGGTGAGCCTGCTGTCAGGAGAGGCAGAGGTGAGATCAGGGCCATCAGATCATATTCTGAAGCAAATGTTAGTTTAAAGTTGGGGTGAAACTGCAGCAGAACCTGATACAGATCATTGTTAATGTAAAGATTTTGGTCAAGCAGCCTGCAAAGTAAATAAAGTTATGTATGACGAGTAAATAATCATTAGGGATGTTCCGATCCAGATTTTTTGGCTCTCGATACAATCAGATTTTTTCAGTGATTAGTCTTTCCGATACTGATCCGATAGCTTTATTTTTTTAAATTTCTTTCCAAGTGACAAGTTTGGTAGTAGTAAAACGAGCCCTGCTGTTCTCACCACGAGAAACATCCAGTTTGTAGATTTTGCAAGACGCAGTTTCAGCATCCTTGTTTTCCATTGAAAAGTGTTCCCACAGTGTGGACATGGTATACGTACGTCTTGACTTCTTAACGGCAGTTGTAAAGCACGATGATACTGAAAACTGTTGCGAAAACTGGATCGGCCCGATCACATGTCTAAATCAGATTCTACCCAATTTTCAAAAAAATGGCCATATCTGCCACCAATACCGATACTGAGTATCTGATCAGGACATCCCTAACAATCATTACAAGTAGAAAAGGACTTCTGCTTTCAGTCAGGAAGGAAAACCTTGTATGAAAACCTTTTTTTCCCAAGGCTAACAAAATTAATCATTATATATGTTTATGTACATGGGGTATATATTTTTTAATAGCATTTAAAAATATATACTTTTAAATCCCAATCCTAAAATATGTGTGATTGAATGTGAGGATGACGAATTGTGCATACTGTGATGACTGTTGCATGTACAATTCATTAGCAGTAAATATTGTGCTAGTAAAAGTACTGGACCAAAGGAAGCAACAGTTGCAAGCCTTTAAAGTTGTTTATGTAAAGCTTTTCCTGGGACAGTACTATGTTCACACTGCAGGCAAATGCGACCCAAATCAGACGTTTTTGCCCCTGTGACCCACATTGGATTTTTTTTCCCCAACAGTCTGAATATGACAAATCCCATTTTCTCAAATCTGACCCAGGCTTTTTCTTTACGTGGTACTGAATCAGATACATATCTGATGTTTTTTAAAGCGACTGAAGTCTGAACACTCATGTCTTATTTCATCCGACTTTTACATCAGTGTAGGCGGTGACCAGATCAATTCACTAAAAATGACACTAACTAGTTTTGCAGTTTAAAATCAACCTTTTTTTGCAGATCTAAATTGTGCCTTAAAAGGTTATTAATATTTCTATGCAAATTTTGATGTTTTTGCAAAAATTTGTTATAATCTGTAATATTTGGTTTAAAAACATCTTAGTGCTGCCCTCTATAGGTTGCACAGTGGCTACTGCAGTTAAATTTTTCAATTGGTTAAAACATATGCGCAGACATAGTTGGTACATGCTTTCATCACAGCTCCTGCATTTGGGTATAAAAAGAATATAAGAGAATGAGTCATTTTTTCTTAATGGGGACATAAACTTGACAATAATATGCATAAAAGTTAAATTCTGTGCTTTCCAAAAACAGGCACTAAAAAGCAGCAGTCGTGTCTAATAGCACAAGAACAGCACACAGTGTCAAGGGCTACAAATATGTTATTAAAAACTTTTAAAAGACTTGATTAGATATGTGTACTGAATTGAAACCAGATAACTGTTAAACTTCAGAAACCTTTT